GGCTAAGCCATGACTTAGTCAAGAGTTATGAAAACCTTCAAATCGAAGTTGGCCTCGGCTGGAGCCTATCGGCTCCCTGGTTGATGTCCGAAAGACGATGAACACGTCTGGCTGTGTGCACTCGTTGACTTGGCTAGAAGCCGACCTCAGTTGCCTATGTGTTGTGAGTTGTTTTGTCCCTGCCACTCTAAGCAGGATCCCTTTTCCTAGGATTAATATAATTCTCTTTGTTTTGCCGCACAATAGCCTGCTGGTAGCCGTCCGGAACGATGCCCATGCTTTACTGGCAGCTCAGCTGGCGTGCCATTGCTGCATGTTTATATACATATTTTCTTATGTATTCCGGCGCAATGGCTAAGGTGTTCTCTACCTCTAGCTAACATGTATAATGATTATAATCATGAGCCAAATAAAGACTCAGGGTGTTTGATACAGACGTTGAGCGCGTCAAGGTCATGCTACACTACCTAGCCTGTGGAGCTGCATTGTGCGCGCTAGTGCGTGAGTGTCCATCTCCAGACTAACCAGCGATGCTTAGTAATTGGTTCAAAAGCGAGTGCTTAGCTAAAACATGTGAACTGCGTAAAACTAAACAGTTGATCTTGTACCCAGTGTGGACTGCTGATGTACTATTGCCATTGCTTCTACTAAACTTCATTTGCAATACTGTTGTTCTGATTTCGGTTGAGTGTAACAGTGTTCTTTGATTAACATTTATCGCGACATAATAATAACGTCCGGCCGAGCGCATCAATCCCGTATCTAACAAGGCTCATATCGTTCGGTGATTCAGCTCAACTGTTATATTATGGCTTAAAGCATATGAACTGCGCTCACACGATTCAGTTAAACAACACGGCATCCAAGTACAGAAGAACATTAAGCAGTAATGTTTTTCAAGGTAACGTCTTGGACACAGTGGCATTTTCACACCATGTGAACGATGCGTTCAACAATTGGCCCAGGTGAAATCGTTTCACTTTGTCAATAGCACTAAGGTCCCCTTGTACGTTGCATATTCCCAAATTGTGTGCGATACATTGCAAATCAGTGATCTGATCGTTAAAAAAACAGCTTTTGCTCAAGTTTTCCAGAAAAGATCCCAGATAGGTTTTCAGAGTGTTCGATCAGTTAAAACGTTAAAAAGACGGAGAAGTTGAAAGTAGGATAAAAGTGGTGATTGAAAAATGTTCAAGTAAAGTAATGCGGTTAAGGCACGCAAACGTTGGCAGGATATAATGGAACAAAATGGAATTCACACCTGCCGTTACTATTTCGTAATGTTCTATTGTAACACTTAACGTACCAACTGTTAATTACTACGTAGTGCGTGGCCTAGATGCGCACTGCTTGAACCCCTACAAATTTTCCGAACAAGTAGGTTGGAGCAGCCCAGGACCACATTTGCAGACCCGTGGTGCTTATCGAATCCAGACCCATTCTTTAGATAACGTGTCCAAGGGCTCTTAGAACGCTGCTTAACAGTGAGGTGAGAAAAAGCAAACTACCGCAAAACGAATGACGCAACACGGCAATCTGAGTGAATCACGGGGTATGCTGAGCTTCAGCAGGCCAAATATTTCTACTTCATTGTTCACGATCAAAAGCAGAACTCGAATTGTGGTTATAGAATTCTTCACCCACAATTCGATTTCTGGTTTTGATTAGAGCAACACCGTAAGTTGGTCACAACGCTGAAAATGGCCTATCACACTAAACAAACCGCTGATGGAAAACAGGCCCATGGCAGTCGGTTCAAAAAGCGTGGACTGCTAGGTATTTGTAAGGAAGTACACTACCAAGCGTATCTAAGGAACAATCGCATTCCGTAGCACCAGCTGGTTGAAAGATAACTGACCTTGCTCAAACTAGCGTAATGTTTAACCAATATTTCTGCGCCTCCTCCAACATGTATACCGAACCCCTATGCATGGTCTTGCCACTAGTCACGGTCGATCAGCTCAACTATCAGATTCGAGCTTCACGATATCCACAAACTCATCAGGTGCACAAAAGTATCCTATTTCAGTGGTCCAGACAATATTCCTCCCGGGTAGTTGTGAAATTTGGGGAAGATGACACTCCTTTATTTTTAGTGATTATGATCAATCTATCCATGAGTTCCGGCATCGTAATAGGTCAGTGAAAAGAAGCCATAGTTGTTCCGCGACATAAATCAGGCGCTCTGTTCGGGACTAAGAAGTATACTCCAACAATCCACAAATCTATTCTAGCAAAAATGATGGAGCGACATGACAAAGCCAGAACGGTTGAATTCTTACTGTCAAGAAAGCTAATAAGCAGCTCTCAGCACAGCTTCTTGAATTCTCGGTGCTACATAACGTGCCACCCGGAATTTCCAAACCATCTAGCTGCTTTACATGATATTGGCATTTCGGCAGCTCCAATTCACTTCGACATATACAACGCACTCAATCAGGTGCCTGATAGGAAACTAGGATCAGAAACGAGATCCGAGAACCCCTGATTCCTGGTTCAGGTCACAAGTTCAAGAACACAAATATGAGCCTATAACTGTCACCAGCGGTGTGATACAAAGCAGTATCCATGGACCGCTACTGCTCTTAATTTATGTTAACGATAGCTTTGACATAGCGAAACTCACCACATTATACCCGCCTGCCGATGATATCAAAATCGTCTACATTTTCCGTCCGGATGTCTTCAGATGCCGTAAACATGATCCAACTCGACCTCCGTGCGTTTGAAACCCGGTGCTAAACATGGAAAATGTCTTCCGCTGTTGGTAAATGTTGTGCAATGTCACAAAAGTGCGATTTGACACTTGTTGACAAATCATTTACTCTCTGCCCTACGGTACGAGATATTCATGCTAACTTGTATGAACAAGTAGGCTAGCCTACCGCGAAGATAGGCAGAACATTGGATTTACATTTAGAACTTTCTCAACAAGAGTCAATACTGTATTCTTATGTTTTAAATGTTCAAAAAGCGTGACCGAAGTGCATTAGAACAAGTACAGAGAGCAATCACAGAACACCCCCCAGGTGCTTCTTCAAGACTGGAATATGAACGATGTGATAAACTCAAGCTTGATCCGCTATTGTTACGGCATATGAAGCGCAAACTAACGATATTTTTCAATATCTTGCACAAAAATACACACGTTCCCAACCTTAGCATGTCATTAACACAATCAGTAGTTTACGACACACGAAATAAAGAGAATTCACTGGTAGAATGAAAGTCTAGAACAATGTAAAAAGTGAAATGCTTCGATGAAAGGTACGCCGGAATACGTGCCTGCACTCTTGAGCACAAATTTCGTGACCAAGCTATCTGGCTGGTCTATTACAAGCCATGCGAATGTTGACGGTACAAGTTCCATATGACTCAGCATTTGGTTCGCCTCCTATAAACCCTTACGCGAGTGGATGAAGGTCACCCAGCATCAATTCACTTCTGTCAAACATTTCATGTACTAATGCTGTCATTCAAAACATTATTGACTGATTTTTCGAGTTCCCGATTAATTGTGAACTACATTCCCTATAATTACGCAATTAACCGAACATTCCGACTCGGGCGTATTCCGCATCATCGAGAATAAGTTTGTCTGGTTAAAGTGAGGCGTTCGTCCGAGGTAAACTTGTAGCCGCTGCAACCGCCTTAGGCTAGATCCATTTTGGCTGTGAATTTCCCAGACCTATTGTGTAAGCACTTCAACTATTTGATAGGTCGCTGAAGCACTTGCCTCGCTGTCAATTTTGGCTCATGCAACTCCAGCACACATTTGGTTAGAAAATACTCCCCGATTTCAACGACTCTGCAGCGCACATTGTCCTACTGAATATCGGCCACAATGAGCGGACAAAAGTACAAAGCAATATAAACCCGTATGCGTGCTTACTGCTCGTCGGTCATTCTTAATGTAGACAGATTTTTGCTTAATCCGAACGCTATAATCTAAGAAGTAACTGGTAATTTATTCAGTAAACACCAATATTTGACCACTGCCGGCCCGTAGCCTAAAGGTAACAAGCTTGTCTTGTAATCTGACGGCGCGGTTGGATACTGCGCAGGCGATCCTCGCAGTATCCTTAGCCCACATGCGACTGTTGGAGGTTGCGTGGCAGTGAAACGTCGGTAATACGTATCGGCGTACTGCCGATGCGTTTCTTTTACCACTACGCTGTAGTACCATTGGTTTATCACGGCTGAAAAGTCACCCGTCCTGAGTGTCTGAAAGTGCATTCCTAATTTGGATGAAAAAATGTACATTCTTCCTAACTTCTGAATAACCCAAACTCCGACACCGATTGCTCCATCCGTACAACTGAAACCACTTATAACCCATCAAGAACTGAGAGTCATTCGTATCAACATTCGCCAAGTCTTCCGTTACGTAACAGGTGCGCACATAAAACAAATTGTCAGTGAACACTAGGACAGCGCACAATGTCACACAGTTCCGTCTCGCTCAACAAGTCCATTTCTATCATCTCAATGTCGAAGGAATTCACTGATATTCACGTATACGATGATGAGTTTTGGGAATACTCATTCTAGTGGTGGGCTCTTGCGAACAAACAATGGACCACTATGGGCCACACACGTCTCCTCCATATCGTCTATCTCACTGTAAACTTCAGAACACACCAGCGGGCAGAGCTGTGTTAAATGTTTCCACTACTAGCCCTATAGAAAGAAGAGAACGGATGGAATTACATTACTCCTCCTGAGTGTTTACTTCCTCTGAAGTATCATTTACCCGAGACTCTCGTGCAAATACAGCAAAGGCCACATAGACTACTTGTTTGCTCCCGTATTAGCCTAACTCGTGCCTCAAAACGACGGTGAGCATTCAGTAAGCGTAAAGTGTTTCATCCAGATGGTACCTGTCGTCTAGAGACATGGCGAATCGAATAGGGTAGCGAAATTCCATCCATTCAACAAGGAGGGACTGTGCGCCACAGGAACAAAAAAGACAAAAGTTGTGAAAAATACCAGATATATATTTAATCTTTTGGGGGAATTAATACATCAAGTGCGGATCTGAGGCGTTTCTTGGACAACTTCTTACGAGACACCAACAAATCGCTAGGCTTTTCCAATTTTTCCGTCTCTTTCAATTGGAGAGAAGGTTGCTTTTGTTTGCCCTTGGTTTTGGTTTCCGTTACACCTAGAGCCTGTTTGATGCTGAACATTTTACGTTCAAAGCGGATGTTTTGCTTTTTAGCTTCGATGCGACTGGACTTCGAGCGACCTTTCCTCTTGGTCCTCTTCACTTCAGGCATCGGAACGCTCACAGGCAGACCAAGCTGGCAATAGAACAAGAGTGCAGTAACAAAGGACAGTACTTCCGTAGATCTAGGCAAAATTAGCGTGAACTGGGCACAACAACTATTAGAACGGCAGTCATGAGGGATGTAAGAGAGAAGAAGTAACTAAAAATACACTTCAAATCGGATAAACTTGCCTAAGGAAAACGATACAGGAAAAGGATGAACGGAGATGAGCAACAAAACACATTAAGACAGGACACTGGAGAATGCAAACAAGCAATGTTCCTCCTGGAGGGGGGCGGAATCGAAGAATAGAGAGCAGAAACGTGCCGTGCATACACCGGACGCAGATGACTGTGTTCAGGAGCCACCATATATGTGAGGCCTGTTTTTAGAAAGTTTCAATGCGTGCATACAAGAGTTTTGGGATTTTTCGCTTACTGCAAGAAGGCAAAAGTTAACAAACAGCGGCTGATCAAACGCGAATCAGGCAACTTAGCGGTTCACAACAAATTGGATACGAAAGAGAGTATATAGCACGGACATAAGTAAGGGTGGAACAATCCTTAGCAGTACGCCGGTAAGTGACACTGACACTTCGCGACCATGCGACCACCACCTAAGTAGAAAGGCTGCGAAATCACCGACACCAATACAGGCTCAAATCGGTACCTTTTCGAGTACAACCCAGACGCTTGAACCACTCGGCCGCCAAACAGTGCGAATGTAGGATGAGACAAAGTAATAGGAACTCGGATGTCGATGATAAAAATACGCCTAGATCGAACGTGATCTGAACGGAGTTGGGACAGGCACAAGAATAAAATGACCTGAGCCACTAACCAGAGCAGCTTTCTTCTTCTCCCACTCCTCCAAGATGTCCTCGCGTCGAACCTTACCGACCAACGATTCCATGGAGATCATCGTATAAGGGATCTGGAAAGCAACGAAGCGAGAGAGAATCAAGAAGATGCATTCGCAGAGCAAGTGGAGTAATGAAGAGATGATGATTATAAAATCTGGAGGATCGTTGAGAACCAGAAAGATTGCACTCCCCTCCAGCATGACTTAGATCGACTGTCAACGTGGACCACTGAAATGCAACTCCCTCTTAACGCAAGCAAGTCGGAGTTCATCAGTACCACCAGACGTGCAGCCACTCGATCCCAAACCTTGGACGACTAGCAGCTCCACCCTAATAAATGTCATACACTTGGGAGTGCTCTTGCGACATGATATGAGATCACCAGAAAATACAGAGAAATTGTACGGTGCGGAACTTCGTATGCTCTGGGTATTACGACACAGTTTCTCCATATGGTCTGAAAAAACCGTCGCTCGCCTATTCACCTCGCTCAGAAGACCAATCCTTGAATACGGCGTCCCACCTTACCATCCGACAACCCAGTGGGAAACGAAAAAGCTGGAGAAAATACAGCACATCGTAACTAGAATGATTCCCAGTCTACGAAAGCGTCCGTATGAAAACCGTTGTGTAAGGCTCGGACTCTAGACACTATCCTACCGCCTAGTACGAATTGACCTCCTTATGACCCATCGAATACTACACTCGAATCACTTCCCCATACTGCGGCCAATATTTCATGAGCGGCAACCCGAGGACACCGTTACAAACTCAGGGTCCTCTGCATGAACAAGGTATCACATCAGTTTTGTATGGAACGAAGAATCGTAAACTTATGGAACACACTACCTGAACGACTAATAGAGGACGATTCTGTGAAGTGTTTTAAAACACGTATCGATGGTTATTTCGGAAACCTGTGCTTTTGTGAAACGATGCGTAGAAAATGCAAAAAAATACAACCTATACGCGGAAATAATGGCACCAATACCAACTCCTGACCGAAGAAGAATGAACGATTACCTGATCAAACACTACCGCTGAAGGATCGCAAGTGAATGTTTTTGATCTCATAAGTCGATAGAGTTGTACAGAAACTTTTCTACTTGCTCTTAAATACAGTCTCAGATGACATGAGGGAAACGGCCAGCCGGTGCGGTTAGAACATACGGCGATTGGGCCTAGCCAATCAGCTGGCGGTCCAGAAAACATCAAGTTGAGCGTAAATTAAACAGGATAGAAAACCACATTTGAAACGCACAGTGCTTGCATTTAATTGTATCTCATGGTTCTGAATGGGGCTTTTAAAGGAGTCAGGTAGAATATGAAGAAGGAACTTGACATAGCAATCATGTTACAGCTTGATAGGCCGAAAAGTTCGATGACGCCTCAATCGGATGAATAAGGATTTCGGTCCATATGATGTTGAAGACATCTCTCGCAAAGTACGTAAAAGAGAGAGATAAAAAAAACAATATCCATAAGCGCAGTTCAGTGCGAAGGATCCAGTTACTTTGAATCGCATCGGCCGGATGAAAGCAATTAACAATGATGGGGAAATAAGCTAGACGGAAAGTGGATAAAACAGTTAAAAGAATTGGAACCACAACATCTAGATACAATGGTGTTCATGAGGAGGATGCAAAGTTGAATTCTTTAAACTGCAGTAGTACGAAGCAGTGCCTGCATGTACGTAGCTAAACTCATATGGTTTTACAGAAAGCATGAGTTAAAAGAATTGTAACTTAGCCTGGGAATAGGAAACGCCAACCGAAGAGCTCTAACACAGTGTGCTTCGAGACAGCGAGGAAACTAAGCATCGATAGTAAACCTCAGAGAAAATTGGTAGCGAGACTAGTCACGATACCCTGTATTGTATTGCAGGAGAAGGGTAAAAGACGACAGTAAATTACCCCAGAGTAGTCACAGAGGTCACTGCACTTGGGAAATAAAATTACAAGAAATAAAATGGGTGAGCACACAAACGAGTAAGATTTGTAAATGGAGCAACTAGTTGTGAGAGAACAGTCGGATTGAGACAGACGAGAACGACTAAAGGTACGTTTAGAATCTACACACGGATAAAACATGTTGGTCATCAGCCGACACCGTGCGGAAATAAGAGATAGAGAAATCACTCTCGGTCTTTTGTTAGCTTACTTAATCGGTCAGATATACTTTGTGGCTTTCAGCTTCAAGGAAAGTTGAAGAGGTCAAAAATGAGGTCCCAACACCATTTTCCGGTCCCTTCCGTGCTAAATCATACTGGCTAATTGAGAGCCCAATACATTCATTGTGGAACATTCACAAAGAACAGATGAAAAACTATCAAGCAACATTAACGCCCATACAAGGTGGAAATTCTCTCTAGAACACTCCACGATCTTCATGTGATATTAAGATGAACACGCATCATCAAGTGCCTTGGATTCGATTGATCGGTGTGCCCTTTGAGACCGCCTACTCAGAAAAGATGTATCCGATCAATAGGTAAATAGCGTTTTACGCGTGCAGTTCGGGCAGAGTGAGGGCTTACGGCAAGCTATCACCGCCCTTCAATATCTCCACCGATGTGAGACAAGGACGCCATCTGGCACCTTTCCTTTGTAACTTCGCCATCGACGAAGTAATGGAAACTGCGTACACTGGACACAAACTACAAGGCATGGATCCACTAACAGAGGATCAACTTCTTGAACTGGAGCACGCCGACAACACTGCCCTTATCTGGAACAGCTCACAAACGTGCTAAGCTGTCCTGGACAAATCATCTCCGGCTGTCAGTTGTTTCGGACTATGCGTTGCTCCCTCGAAACGCAAAGTCCTTGCCCAAGATTGGCATGGACCTTTGGTGGTGATAATGTAGAAGCCGTCGAGAAATTCAAGTATCTAGACAGCTATATCAGTGCAAGTGGAATGGAAGATGAGATCACGAACTGTAAAGCAATATCTCGAGGTACTCTTGCCAATCTCCGCCACCTGTGGCGCCGACACGACAACACTCTCATCCTAAAGGGTAGAGTTTACAATGCATATGTCCGAACGGTTGCGAAACCTGGCCCATCAGATCGACAAACATAAAGACGCTAGTTACGTTCGGCCAGCGCTGCCTTTGCAGCATAGCTCTGTCTGTTAGGAACACCGAGTGAGCAATGGGTGTGCGCGGCGTCGTGTATTTGGTGCAGGAAAAGCGAGTGAACCGCTCAGTACCGTGGTATCACGCACCAGGCTCTGATGGTTGATCCACGTGTTGCGCATTCCAGCACACCGACTTCCGCGACGTGCATTGTTTGCGCAACGGGATTGTGGATGGAGGAATAGGAAGGAAGGCTAAGCTATCAGTTGGCTGAGAGGAGTTAAAACACTCATTTCGAAGTTGGCGTCGTTTGGTTGGATACATTTACTATTATGACAAAGAGCCGGACTAAAGGCGTTTGTGCCGTGAGTTTCTTTATCCCACTGTATCCCACTTATCTTCCTCTTCCAATCACGATCTCTGGCTTGAAGTTTGATATGTTACTAAGCAGTAGATTACCAGTTATTTTTGTAGTCTATAATGTGTTGTATCATTTTTCCTTCGTATACCTTTTTGTATTGCGGTACAACAGTTGAAATTTATTACCATCAGCTAATGTGTAATGATGCTGACGACGAATATGAGAACGTGCATAACCAAGCGATGATTTGGTCGAGAGAAACGAAGGCCCTCACTTCGAAGCTGGTCTCGGCTCCCTGATTGAGGCTTGAAAAACGATGAACACGTTTGGCTGGATACACTTGTTGACATGGCTACGAGTCGACCTCAATGGCGTTTGTGCTCTGTGAGTTTCCTTGTCCCATCCCATCCCTCTTAGCCTCCCCATGCAACCACGATCTCACATCTCAGCGTAATTTTGCATATTAGATTTTTTTGCTGCATAGTAGCCGGCTAGTAGCTTACCGGAACGATGACAATCCATTACCGATAGACCAACATCAGTTGCATTTTTTCTTTTTTTCTTTTACGTATTGCGGCACAGTAGCTGAGGTGTTTTCCACCTCTACCTAATATGTATAATGATAATGATGATGATGACCTATGTGCATGGCAATTTCGTCTGCCGAATAGCACTAGCTGCAATCCCACTCTAGATGACATGAGAACGCAGAGCAAACAGTTACTATTTTCGGGAATGATGCAATTGTCGCACCACCTGCCCATCTGACGATATCTGTCCATATATCAGACCAGTAACAGAGTATCTGCCCCTAAGCGGGACCAGTCTCTCAAACTGTTATCAAATAAAAGATTAATTAATTTATATTAAATCGAATTGCACGCATATTTCGTCTCGCATGTCCATGCGACATGTTTGTGTGCAAGACAATTTGAACAACAGTGAGTATGGCGACTGCGCGTTGTAACAACCCTCTGCAAAACGTTACTTACTGTCGATTGTAAACAGCTGAGGAAGGGGGACTCTCATAAAGGATTTCGATGCGCAGGGGACACTGAACATACAGGATGTGACGCAGGTCTCGGAGTTGTGTATACAAACGGCTGAGCGCACTGCAGGAAGTTGAATTAGATACCTCGAGTCAGAGGACACTAGACATAACACATCTGCTCACAAGCCAGATTAGGCTAACCTCAATCGGGAATGTCAGCATATGATCGTTTTACCCTATTAGGGCTCGTCAGGGTTGAGCATTCTCGGTCCTCTGCTGGAGATCGTACCCCTGGCTACTAGCAGCTTACGCCAACTACCCAGCAGCTTATGCTATAGAGCCATGGGGAACGAAGACAAACCGTCTGAAGTTGCAAGCCAGTTGGGATACAGCGCAACCTATCATCCACTGCCATGCAGATTCCTACCATTGGATTTTTGGGAGAAGCCGAGCAAACAGTAGTCTAGACTGACTACTCAAGTTGGGTGTTTGAAAGCGAACAATAGATATGACAATACCAGGCGATCACACAGGCATAAATGCAGGGTCGACAATAACGGAAATGATCTCATGGGAAAACGAGACAAATACCTTGTCAAGTAATCGTTTGACTTCCCTTTCTTGGCGATAGCGTTTATTTGCGAATGGATTCTCTTCCAGTGCATCGTAATTGGGTTCAGCACTGCCAGGACAAAGAAGAGAGGAGATGCCACCATTGGTGCCCAAACCCAGAACATCCTCGTAAGGGCAAAAGCGAACTCGGTGAACAGGCCGAACAGCATAGTGGGATAGATAGGCACTGCGGAGCACGCGACGATTGACGCCATCCGCGATCGTCTCTTGCACAGCAGAGGCTGGCTGTAGCTCTGACCCAGAGAAGCCGAGGTGAGGGTCGGATAGCACCTGTAGAGAAAGGAAACTATGAGATTCAGTGAGTTGGCGGGAAGTTGGGATATCGCGTTCAGTTGTAGGGCAAAATTCAGCAATCCATAGTTGAAAACTTAGTGGCCGGATGAAAAAATAGGTATCCTAAGTGAATGGTGTCCAAATACCCCTAGGTGACGGCAAAAGTGCTTTTAGGAATACATGTTCCGAGCAGAGAAAAGAATTGTCGGGTTTTCAGATTGCCCCCTAAGACCAACAAACGGTCGGGAAGAACTAGGTTTACCTTGCAGTTCTACGCATTCAGGATTGGCAACTCCAAGGAACTGATCAGCGACGAGATTAGTTGGTGGTCGGGATTTTCAATTCCGTAGTTGTCAAGATACATTTAGTGACAAGCGGTACCAGCAGAGAAGCGGCACGGTTGCCTATATCTGAAGAATCGTTAAAAAGAAAAAAAGTCCTACAGCACCATTTCTGAATGGAATAGCGTCATTACGTCCGGTTTACAATGTGGAGGAAGCCATTTTGTGGTAACGTGAAGACAAGCGCTTGTCAGGGTGGCGAAGGCGTGTAGCGTGCAAAACACAGCTGACACAAATTCGGCTATACGCACGATTTGCAATTCGATTGAGGCGTCGAGTTTTCCGTTCGTTAAAACGGGCAGCAATGTCATGATGAATGAGGAAGGTATGCATAAAGTAGTGAATTGAAAATAAGATGAGGGTGGATGCAGTTAGGATAAACGGCAGGGTATTTGTTACCAGGAATAGAAGGACACAGCTAGTTCACATATGAAGTGTCAAAATGTAATCCAGAAAAGTGCCGAAGTGCAGTAAACCTAACTTGCTGTCCATGGACTACACGTTTACGCCTATCGCATAGTAAAAGACACATGTTTCCGCTCTAATATCCCACTAAGCAAGAAAAAGTGGGGTGATATAACATCAGCAGAATGCGGGCAGTTTTACCCAAGTCAGCTGGCACACGAACCATAACACAATGACAAGTAGCGGTCTGTTGCGATATTTCGACGGTTATACTTTAGTTCCAGAAAGGGGGCCACAGGCAACAACAGCAGACAAAACATACGCAGAACTACAAGCACCAAGGATTCGAATCAGATGTAGAATGGAAGTAACTCCTTCGTACCTTCCCTTCTACAAGGTGTGGCGAAACGATCCCACGAAAGTAGCTAACATAATGTACAAAACACTAATGAAGACACCAATGTCGAGTCATCGGAATCAAGGAAAAGAGCATGTTCCATAAAATGCCGAATAGACAAAATCTCAGGCTAGGAAAGCAATATGGGGTTCCGGTAACGGAGACCTACTTGGACGGTGTTCGCCGCTCCGAGAGCCAGTAAACCACGTTGACTATAATCCAAGCTGGTACCCGATAGAGGAAGGTTAATTTCAGATAACGGATCATAGGTAGAACGAATATCCCAGATTTTAAGCTTTCGGTCCAGAGCACAAGTGGCCAAATAGCTAGGGAATGTGGATAATGGTGGGAACAGAAACAAAACTGATGGAAGAGTTTATGAGTTGTCAATGAACAGGGAATTTTCAGAAAGCGATGGTCGAGAGAAGTGACGCAGGTAGAGTGAAGAGAGTTGGTTGACTTCAGCGAGTTTGTGAAAGAGATTGGCCACGAGGACCCCAGGAGCCAAGTGAATGGGACTGAGCTGGTGCAAGCAAAGACTAGCTAAAAGTGCACTTCTTTGAATAAAACGAATAGTTGGGCAACATGAACGTAAGAATGGTATGATCTCCGAAGCTATTTTTGTGAGGAGCGACTACAGCTAAACAGCCTGGGTGGAAGTAAAATGCCCAGGAAAAACAATTTGAGACAACATATACGGCAAAATCACTAAGTATTTCGGGAACATTCAACTCTGTCACGTGAAAGAGCGGATCTACACTATTAATTTTGTCAGCTCACCAGGTTGTTAGAACTTGTACACCTGGATCGACCAATAAATATGCGTCAATTGGCACACCAGTTCTACCGTTTCGGTAGATGCTACTGCAACATGCTTTGCACCAAGCTGCTGGCATCGGATTTGGTTAACCCGACACCAGCAATGCTTCGTAGACAACTGTGATCAAACACTTGAAGGCGCCTCGGATCCTCAGACAGAACAGGCCAACTCTCACTCACATAGGATAGGATGGCCTTCGCTGTGGCCTTGTAAACACGGTCTTTCAAACGAAGGGAAACCCCTTTCTGTCGACAAAGATGGTGAAGATTCAAGAAGGTAGTTCTGGGTTTTACAATATGTGAACTGATTTCAGTTGCTATGCGTGCATCGTTGCTGATGTAGCTACCAAGGTAAGCGAATTGATCAGTTACCTCGAGTTCCTCGCAATAAATTGTCAAGGGTTCAAGTCAAGTCAGTATAAGCTTTATGTACCCAAAAGGGTGCATTTTCAGCATTTTCATTATCAACTGTAAATTTACTAATGGGTTACCATTAAAAATGTAAAGTTTACAATGGGTAGAAAATTGAGGATTCACTGTCATTGATCGATCGAGCAACGATTCCAAAAAGCTGGACTAAAGCTTCGGGATTTGTTTACATCGAAAACGGAAAAGGTCTTATAAAAAAGTTTCTTCAAAATTCGTTTCAATTGACGTAGAATTTTTTGTCCAAAAATAATAGATCGCAGATCGTGCGCGGTATCTCGCGTGTACGTTCAAAGATGAATGGAGTAAAGAGCCTCATTGACTCGTGCAATACTGAGATATACAGAGTAGATAATGTAAAAATGATGTTCGGCGAAAAAAGCAAGTCATCAAGTGGCTGATGGTCCTATAACAACCCTGCACTTTGAAGCTGCGAAGCGCATGCCAAATAATGGGACCGCTCTAGAGAGGCTATTCAGGGTTGATTGGACAGCCGCAATATCGTTAAACAGCAAGATGATATCGTCACGCATAATTAAGATCAACAAGCCTTTCACTAGGCAGCACCTCAACATCTGCATCGTGAGACTCCGCAAGGTAACACGAAATGATGGAATCCAAGACGAAATTGAACAAAAATGCGGAAATTGGGCAGCTCTGAGAAACGCCATTTGCTGTCGGAAAGATACCCGAGAGGTCACCGTAGACTCAGACGCGGTCTATAGGGTTTGAGAAGAGAGCAAGTAAAAGGTTCACATATTTCATGGGAACACATTTCCAAGCAAGTATTGCAAACAGAATGCATCGATCGACTGAGTCGAACGCCCCCTTAAAGTCAAGGAACACAGCAGTATGTGTGGCGCTGCTCTAGCACTTGCTGCAGTGAATATATGGTCTATACAGCCCCGTCCGCGGCGAAAACCTGCCTGCACTTCCATAATCCGCGATCCCCCGTCCCGCAGTGAGGCGGCGAACTAGAATCGAGAAGAGTAATTTTGTCACAACAGACGGTAAGCACAGTCGGTGCGACTGCACTTCTTGTATACTGCCACTACAATCAATCCACTCCAGGTAGCCGGGACGGTCTCTTCCTTCAAGACAAGTTCGAACAGAGTTCAGTGCTTTGCAAAGGACCTCGCCTTCATCCATAAATAGTGCAGGTGGGAGGGAACCCGGGCCAGCAACAAGAAAACGATGGAGGGTAGTGGTCGCGTTTCGGACCTCAGCCTCCGATGGAGCCCCTAAAGTATCCGTCCATGGTTTATCCTGCATCACCTAAGTAGAAAGAGGTCAGGAAGCAGGCGAGAAACGAAACTGATCTTGAAAGTGCTCCGCCCAACGAGCCATACGGCGCTCCTTATTGTAAACCATGGCACCCGCGCCGTCTCTGATTGTCTCATTGACAACTGCTTTCTTGCGACTAGTGGTGCGGAATAGCCGAAAGAGCCGGCGACAATTACCTACTGCTCCTGCTTCCACTTATTGAGCCCTATTAGTCCACCAGCTTTCCTTGTTGGCACGCAGACTCTGCTTTAGTTCCCGCCTAGTAATATTTCTGGCCACATTGTGCCCAGAGCCGGCTGGGATATTTCTACCGGATTCCAACAGGTTCACCGACCTCTCGGAAAACCAGTGTCTGGTGCGTTGACGATGGATAGTAACACATGCAGATGTTTCTGCGTAGTGCATGGCGGCCGAGATCCTATTCCACTGAAGCTCAGTGTCCATAGGACAAGAGAGCGGAAGTTTGGTGTGCAGTGCATCCTAATACGCTTGCCCGACCAACGGATGAGATAGTTTCACAGTTGCCAATCGATGGAGGCGCTTGGTTTGCGTCCCGGTAAAGTTCGGTAAAAAACGACAGCGTGCCAGGGTATGATCAGAGTTGACGCAAGTACTCCAGAACGACCGACAGTACAGGATGGAACTACGCCACTTTTAATTTTTGGCAATGTGATTTATCTGGGTCCATCGATGGCCAGATACATGACGCCAAGTGACAATTCGGCGCCCAGAGTGCCTGAAGCCAGCGCTACTAAAAACAGCTAATGTTTCGAACACAGTAGCAAAAGACGCTCACCGATGACCGTACGGTCAGAGTTAAGCCCCAATTTACCACCTACCTGAGCTTTTGAAGAGCCCATGCGACCTACTTGTGCATTCATATTCCGTTTAAGTACTATAATATTTGAACGGAGAACCCTGCTTAGCAGCGTGCTCAGTTCGTGGCAAAATATGTTCAGTGGCAGCATCAGAACTACAGTCGGTGAAAGCACAAGCGGAAACCTCCAACAAATAGCGTCGTGTATTACTTCGTGAATAGATCTTAGTTGATGACGTCTAACGGGCTGCACACAAACAGCGGCTCACGGTAATCCAAGCAAACAATGATGACTCAGACTTGGAGCTGAGAACGATGCCCACCTCAGAATGACCAGTAATTGCCGCATCAATGTCTCCGGATGCGTATAACTAATAGCGAGAGGACAAGGTGGGCGCACAAGATACAGTCCGGTGAAAAAACAGTCTGAGCAGAGACGGAGTGCATCCAGCAACAGAAACAAGAGTTGGACACAATTCACGTCAAAAAAGAACCAAATGATGCCTCAATCAGAGTGGTGCTCAAAGGACCAAGTTCGGAGATTCAAAACTAGGAGAAGCGAGAGACCGAATTAGGCAACGGCAGCCGTACGAGCAATTAGTAGAAAGAAGTCAGGAAACAGTGAGAGGAAGATGGTTGTATTCCATAATCACTGCTTATGAGGTCCTTGTATACTCACATGGCTGGGTCAATTTTGAGCTGTTGTGTGCTCAGGTTTGGGCACAAGCAGACTCTTCGGTAACATGTGTTGGATTCCCCGGGCCTCCGCGGATTAGAGTGCGGGGGTGAACAGTGCTCACAAACATCTGTGCACAGACACATTTGTCGTCGATCGATTCGTAACAGCGCGTCAGTCTAAACCAGTGCAAAGTGGCGCTCTTATCGGCACATATACCAAAGATTTGAACGAAGTGTTTCGGACAGACCAATCAACCGAAGTGAGTTCGTATCTATATACTACCTACCGGCTGAGATGGCTATTCTTAGTTGAACGATATCAACTGATGTTGATTTGAAGCAGATGACGCACGACCTGATCAAAGTGATAAGAAAGCTTATTTCGAGGTAGACCAAGCATAAGTGGAACAGACCACCAAGAATATTCATGACATGCAGCATAGTCCACCGAAGACCTCTTCGGTTGACGTTGCCAGTTAAGACGCAAGTACATCTACCTCTCTGGAATCTGGATCCGTAACAATCTTATCGTCTTTGCCGAACCAAGATCGCGTAGCCTAAACGATACGATCCAGATGACGATGACGATTCTCAGGGACACCATGCAAGGTCCAAAATGCGGATAAAGTGCTCATAGACTGTCAAACACAATGCATACCTTAGAAGCAGACAACGGGCTAATATCGTTCTGGAACGTGTTGCACACGTGTTGCGCATGTCAACCCACCGACTCCCGCAACGTGCGCTGTTTGGGCGCTGAAGGTGTGGATGGATGAAGAGGAGAGGTGGTCAAGCTATGACTTGGTCAAGAGAAATGAAGGCCCTCACTTCGAAGTTGGCCTCAGTTGGAGCTTCTCAGCTCCCTGGTTGGGGACCGAAAGTGTATGAACACGTTTGGCTGTACAGACTTGTTGATATGCCAAGAAGCCGATCTCAGTGGCGTTCGGCTTGTGAGTTTCTTTGTTCCTTCCCTTCCTGCTAAGCCCCCAGTCCAACCACGATCAGATTTACTAAGCATATTGTAACTGTTTTCGTTGCACAATAGCCGGCGTGCCTCAGTTGCAATATTTTTCTTTTCTAATATATTGCGGAGCAGTAGCTGAGATGTTTCCACCTCTAGCCAAGGTGTATGATAGTGATGCTGTTGATCCCACCCGCCATCCAGGCACGAGTTGACGTGATCCCCCATACCTTTGGCTCGAGACATTACAGAACATGGCTCATAATCGACATCAGTGGCAAAACTACTATTGTCTCCGAGTCGGGCTGCTTGCTTAAAGTGTGTTTTGTTGCTGAGTTATCTGCGGCGTAATGGCTGGTTATGACACAGGGCATTGGAAGCCACAAGGAAGTCGATGTCGCGTTTGCACCATGGTCAGGTGTTTGTGACCGTATTTTGTTGACAAGGTGTAGGTACCATGATCCTAGAAGTTTGTTTAGGGCGTTCAGGTTTTACACTAGGTCACCCATCTTTTCCACTTATTATTCTTCATCCATTAGGTCACTGTGGTCGTACGGCGGCGAAGCGCCAGCTCGAATGATTAACGCACTGCTGTAAATGATTCCGATAACGAACACACCACACTGGTATTTTTCGGTAGCCTACAGAGAGAAATAAATGTATCAAGAAGCTGATCAAATACAATAATATGTCCTCCTTAACAAGCATCCGGATTGATTCAGTCCCTTGTCCGAACCTTCAATCAGATACTTGGCTCAGTGTCTAGCGTCGCCATGAAACGAGTGAAGGTTGAATGCGGAAAAGTGTCCAGCCTTCAGGTCATATACATAAGGTACATGACAATAAACTGATAAATCGTGGTTAAAAATGAATAAAGGGTAAACGCTAAACGGTATTTCGAATGAGTACTGTCCAAAAATTCAACAGCAGCAAGTTCTATCTTATGCACGCGATTAACACATACACTCCCCAGAACAAGTGTATATTCATAGGCTGTGAACTAACCCTGGTAAGTCAAATCTGAGATGATTAATCGGATTTACGCGTATTAGAGCTGATCTGACAGAAAAGTGCAGTCCAAGAAAAACAGACTAACAGCAAATGTGACATACTTTCCTGTGAGATCGCAAGAGATGGCCGTCAGACCATTTTGATGAGTGAGCATTTTTACAACGGCACGGTTTTCCGAGGGTACCCAGAATGACACAGATCCATTGTGATGTCCGAGAAGAATCACTGCATTCGTCGGATTAGAGCACATGACCCCGAGACGGCCAGCGTATGTCGGTATTGAAGAGACAACAGAGCCAACCGTGCAGTCTAAATAATACAGGTAGCCATTGGCGGCCTTGGAGTTATTGTAAGTGGAATGGAGATATTTACTGAAGATACAAGTAGGAAATGATAAGGAAGAAACTCCAAACGAAGTATCTGATGAAGTTGTTTTAGACAGTGTAATTCAACGCCTTGATTATCGTAGATTGAGGTGGTTTTGGATTCGGCAACTGCGATAAATGTTTCCTGATGAAGAAACCTATGGGGGGGGGAGATTACGGAAAAGGTTGAAAATCACTTGATGTCCTTGCAAGTGTCCGCAACATTCATCTCAAACAGCAGCTTTTTCGTCATCCAGTCGAAGGCAGCGACGTTGCCAGATTTACCACAATAAGCCAGAAACCTAGACAGATTCAGTGCGTTTGAGTTGGGGGGACATCATACCGTCCATTCCTCGAGTAATCGATGGAATATGGTCCACCTTGTAACTGAATATCAAAGCGCTAACCCAGAAAGTAAGAATACCGGATAACATACTTTCGTTGCTGAACCGATGTCTACTTGAGAGCAAATCTGCTGTTGCGTAACGCGCTCGCCCTCATCTTTAAGCAAAGAACTTGATGTAGGCAAGGGACATTGGAAAAACCTACCCAGGGGTCACGGTGCCTAGTATGGCTGCCTTTGCCGCCTGTTGTTGTGATTGGTGGACACGTTTGTTAAATTTCTCTGTCCACTTTCTATGAAAACGGGTGGGCATGTGACTCTGTGGAAGAAGTCCAGCTATCAGAAGTGTACTGACTCACTGTGTTCATTTTGCAAAAGGGTATGGCTGACGAATATGAACTCGGAGGCTCTCAGCGTAGTAACTAAAAGAGAAGAAATGGAGGTGGGTCACAAGTTTTAAAGCCGGTACATAAACGAGCTGATTGCTTGTCGTTCACTGTGCAGTTTGTACTTCATTTCAACTTACACGCCTCAAGAGCCTGTTGAGAAGTCCTATTCACCAAGACCCCAATCGCCCCAACTCAGTGTGATGTGACATGGACTCACCCAGTTAAAATGGGCTCGGCTTGGTAATTCTGATCAGTACACCAGATGAAGACACAAAATCAAACGGAAAAGCGATAGTTTAAATGGTCAAGAGGTGTAATCACAGGCTCGAAGTAATTGAAAGGAAGAAAGAATCCCACAGAAGCCGTGACCATGCGATGTCCGATAAGGTGTCCAATCATTCATGTAGCCAGTCTCTAAGACCCCATCAGAGAAAACAACAGGCACCAATCAGATCCAGCAATCCGGTGAGTTTCTTGATGTTATTTCTACATCAATGACTGGCCACCTCGGAGTATCACACAACTAATATACACCGAGGCAATCTGTTGACAGGCATGCGGAGCACATGACTAAGCCACAGGCACTCACCCATCGCGAACAAACGCGACATTAACGCAGTACGTGTTGCGTACCTCCGTGACTCGTTGAGCTATGCTGGGTGGCACTTTGCAAGTGCCTTCAGATCCACCAGTATCAAACAGCAGAATGGTTAGTGTGTCAGACTAACTCAGTCTCACAATCCTTTTCGGTGGTTAGGGAGAGGTCGATGGCCCTCTTCCCTTAAAACCCAGTCATAGGAGACAACAGGTCTACGGGTTATAAGCTTACAGCTCGATTGGCGTAGAGCACGAGCGGCACGGATTGTCTCAGACAATGGGAGAGCATCTGCCGGTGCTTAATGGTATGCTACCGCCTACCTCAAGCAAAGCATCCTCTGTACAAATTGGTGCAAACTGTCCAACTCCCGCCTGCGGTTAGCCGTGCGTAACATAATACGGTCGAAAACAGGTGAATTGTTCGAAATTCATAAAGGTTGCTTCCGATAGAGCACAAGCAGATCGCAATCACTTTATGCTATCACATTCTCTTGCTGGACTTGCTCCCCACTACCTTGTGGGTCAGACTATTGAGCCAAAGGCTTCGAATGAAGTCCCTCAAGCGAATATTCATGTACCACACTGCTTTGTGAGTTAGGTCTGGTGGTGTAAACGTGCTAGAGAGACAGAACTTGTAATCTTTCTGGTAATAACAAAAAACTTTTCCACCTTATCCGAGTCACCAAAGGTTTTCGATCTGGAGTAAACAAAACGTTCTGTGAAGGGGATAACCCACTAATCACTAATCTTCAACGACGGTTGGAACGATGGGCTGAACATTTTGGCTTGCAGTTTTGCTGTCCACCACCCCCATCTGCTTCCCCTGGAGCGCTCACTGTTGCTGAGTAGTCCGTCTCCACAGATCCTCCTTCTCACCAGGAAATCTGGCAAGAACTCCGTTTCTTGAAGCGCTATAAAGCAACGGGTCCCGCCATAGTAAAAGATGCCGGCGATTTGCTAGTTACAATAATTCCGAGAACTTAAAATATGTCCGGGGGAAAGCAAGAATTGCTCGGAAAATCTATCATTGCAGCGTTTAAGCGATTGATAACGATTATCGCATCGAGTTCGAATGTGCTGGAATGTTCTAAGGCCTGCATGTGACTACCAACCTTCTGAGAATCGGCCAAATCTATGTGGAACAACTAACCTTGGTGGCTGACCTAGTAATTCGAGTAATCGAAGGACATGAGACGACCTATAAATATGATCATGGTTTTTCGCTTCCGTTCATTTCCGGTTTGTCTGCGGATTCATGGTTTTGTGCAGAACGAGTAAGGTTTGCTTTCCGGTGGTTCTGTCTCGAGGTCTTACGGCAGGGTCCTGTAGTTGTCGGTAGGTTTAAAGAGTTGTAGATTGCCACTCGGTAGTGGTGTAAGGCCCAGGTATCCAGCGTTTTGACTGTGGGGATATGGATACCTAGAAGAAAGAGACTAGTGTGAAGGTAAACGGCAGAGGTTGCGATGTCATTGCTTTGCAAGTGATGGCATAGACGTGGTAGTACGGGGACACAAAAGTGTCAGACAAGGGGACAGTTCGGTAAAGTTAAATAAGAGGAGTGCCGCGAGCTAGTGTGTCAAAAGTAGTGACCCTACCAGCTAGCTTGGCGAATGGCTCATGTCTTTCAACATGAGGCCAGCGAGACAAAAGCCAAGCATCTAGGCTTTGTTTGAAGACCTCTGTGTAATGTGTTGAGGGAAGTTTCAGGCAGTGTTCCAGACGAAGACGGTATGCACACTAAAGCTGGTACTTCGGAACTGAAGCCGAGTACTCCGAGTCATGGGTTTGATCCCACGCAGCTGGCAGCAGGAAGAGATAGTTCGGCAAGCCAGGCGGTAGACTAGAGATTCATGAGCGCGAACTTGAGGGTCAACACAGCCACGGTACTCGCAGGACGAACAACGGCGATCGACTCCTTCAACTATGCGCCGACCACGGCTTGTTCCTCTCCAGCACCAATTTCCGACATTCCTGGCGCCAAGAAGCTACCTGGCGACCTCCGGCGCCTGGTCAATCTTGGATGCAAATTGACCACATCGCTGTTAGTTACCGTTGGCGAGGCTGCATAACGGAATGCAAGTCAAGTTGAAACACTTACTTAACTTCGGATCATGCGCTCGTGTGTGCTAAGTTCGTTCTGCGCTTTGGATGCATCCAACAGTGTCGCCGGAGAAGGCTTGACACAGACAACCTCGTCACCTCAAATGTTCCCGGCGTATTTCAGAACATATTAGCCTCCAACCTGCGTTTTCTATCCTCCGATGTTGACACACTATGCACAGATCCAGAGCGCCTTACGAAAGTCCGATACCCTGGTCTGTGGCTTCACAAGACGAGCTTCCAGTCATTGATCTCCGTACAGTCTCTCCAATTAATGGAAAGTCTTCGAACAATTCCCCCGGGGAGTTGAGTACAACGCACTACGCAGAACCACAGGTGATGAGCTCAGAGAGCTCCTCAGGAAGGATCGCGAGGTTAGGTGAACACAGCGCGTAGTTGAAATGGAGCGGGCAGCCTTATCAGGAAAATTCCGTAAACTCTTCCAAATTATTCGCCCTACGGGAGGCAGAAGACCAACATAGAGTGTGGTTACGCGTGAAACTGACGGTGAACTAATTCATAACCGTCAAAGTCGATTGCCACGATGGGCAGAGCACTTTGAAGATCAGTTCAACCGGCCACCAGCGCAAGCTAGTCTATCTTTCGGGGTTCACAGTGCTCCCTGGAGCGTGAATGTTTCTCCACCGACAGAGGCTGAGGTTTCAAATAAGCTTCGCGTACTGAAGCGACACAAGTCACCTGGCCCATATGAACTTCCCACTGCCCTCTTCAAATATGGAGGTCCTGCTCTCACTCGCGAACTGACATCTCTATTCCAACAGATTTCGACCACTGAAATCATTCCATCCGACTGGAATTTAGCGGATGTTGTACCTGTTTACAAAAGGAACCGGACCATTTGCTCCAGCCATCGTGGCATCAGTCTCATTTGTGTCGCATCTAAACTTCTCGCTGCCTTACCCTTGCGGAGGCCCAGTTGCGTACGGGAACAGCACCTGCGTGAACAGCAAGCTGGATTTAGCCCGGGTCACAATTGCTATGAGCACATTTTACGAGCCACCAGATATTTGAACATCGCCATACGTTCAGTGGACCTACTATATTCATATACTTGGACATTCGAGCTGCTTTTGGCTCTGTTGACAGAGTGGCTCTTTGGGACTGCTTACTGAAGAGAGGAGTACCTGAGAAGTAGACAAACATTCTTCGTGCCACTTACCATCAAAATTAGGGCCGCTTGCGAGCATACGGAGACATTTCGCTCCCTTACAGTGTCACTAACAGTGTTAGACAGGGTTTCCCAGCCTATCCATTCTTGTTCAACTTCGCCATGGACGTGATCCTGGATACTGGCTTGGATAACTCTGAGTTCTGCGGTGTTGAACTGCTCCCTGGTGACCGCCTTCGGGACTTAGAGTACGCCGATGACATCGCTGTGGTTTGCGAGTCCACCCAAGCCGCCCAGCATGTGCTGCTCAGACTGGAGATGTTCGCCGCCCAATTTGGGTTGAGATTTGCCCCTTCCAAATGTAAGGTCCTATTACAGGACTGGCCAAGCGCATATCCTTCTCTCACCTTTCCGGAGCATCCGCTGAAAGTGGTTGATAAATTCATTTATCTTGGAAGTTGCTTTAGTATTGACAGTTTAGGAGATGAGATCCCGCTGAGTGTCTTTAAGGCTAGAGTCGCTTTCGCTAACCTTCGTCGCCAGTGGCTTCGTCGTGACCTCAACCTCGCTCTCAAGGGACGGGTCTATAATGCTACGGTACGAGCGATTCTGCTTTATGGCTGTGAGACTTAGCTCGTTCGTAAAAGCGATGTTCAGCGGCCATCTGCCTTCGATCACCGCTGCCTGCAAAGCATTGCTGGTTTTTCATGACTGCATCACATCAGTAATGAGGAAGTCCGTCGGCGAGTCTTCAGATCTAACGAACTCCGCCGACCGACTGATAGCACTAATTCACTGCGGAGTCTACGCAGGCTTGGACATGTGCTCCGCATGCCTACCCAGCGGCTACCACGACGAGCCTTATTTGCGAGCACAGGTGGGACCTGGAAGCGACGAAAAGGAGGGCAATGTAAAACTTGGATCCAATGCGTTAAGGTGCAAAAGTTGAAACTGACTGTTGTCGGGCGTTCTCAACGCCCGGGTTTGGGATCAAAGGACCCCGAGCACATGTGGTTGCAAACGAGAGACCCAGGACCGTACACAATGGCGCATTGCTGTGAGTCTCTTCTACCTTAACAGTTGTTTTCCCTTGAACGATATCTTGTTCCCCTTATGTGTTGCGGCACTCAGCCAATTATATTGTAATCGGTAA